TATGAAAAAGTGGTCCGGTGCGGCCGGTGCGGTTCCGACGGATCTGCTTATGGTAACTAGGGATCATGAAAATACCGATTATGTTTGAGTTAACTTTGTTCAACATCGTTTCCTTAGCGTTTGAAAGTTTAAATTTTCCAAGATTCGGACTCATGGACCGAATTGAGCATCATCTGATTTAACATTATTTAAGTTTCAATTTTTGCAGATTCGATAAACAATAATAATACTTCACATTTATATAGCACATATTGTGCAGTGCCTCTATGCGCTTTAAAATCCTACTACAATTATTCGGTATTGATACATCACTGGAAGGCAAAATGTGTGTGTATTACGTACTGTACGCATGTTGCACAGATAAAATGAATAACAAAGTAAATTGAAGTGTGATATTATTTATTTTCCATTTGTTTTTTCCCACTATGCTTGTTAACACAGGGTACAGAATGATGATAATATGCAAAATAACAAATCTGAGCAATAAGGCTACAGAGGATCAGCCACAATACAAACACGAGAATCAAGTACCATTTACGGTATTGGCATTACTAAATGTAATAAAACAAAGCACATCTCATTAAGAAGTATATACATTATTTTTAAACTAATCAATACTTAAAGCAGAACACAACACCTTTATGACTTCAAAGCCGTGGCAGGTGAGTGACGTTTTGTCGATGGGGGTGACCTACATAACATAGTTAATAATTAGACGACTTTTTTATACCTTGTTTCGCAAATCCGCCATCCGCTAATACTTTTGCTCTCGAAACCAAAAATAAAATTTTATTTTTATTTGAAATTATCATCATTATTGGCAGGTGGCAGGTTCGATAAACAAAGTATAAAAAAAGTCTCACCAGACTTATAATAAATATTCAGTATTGTTATCAAAACGCATCAGAGTGTTATCAAAAACGCAACAATAACATTTATTACACCAAAATGTATGGACGGTAATAATCATACAGAAATTAAATTGAAGGACGGAATGTAAGAATCTAGTGAAACATAACATAATGAAAACACTAATAATGAAATAATTATGAGAACATTATACTCTCGGTTTTTTTGCTAGTACAGAAACATTTCTACATGTATTGCATACTATTATACAATTTATTAACAGTTACATTTTATGCTGATTTTGCAAAACGTGTATTTTCATTAACATGTGCAACGTTAACATAACCAACATTTATTTTCCTTCAGCCAATGAAAACTTTTTTTAAAGTGGAAACATGAAAATGGGAAAAAAATTCTAATTACAGGTCTCCCTTTAAGTAAAGACCCCTCCAATTTGAGACAACCTCCAATTAAAGACCACTTTCTGTGGTCCTAAATTAAAAAATGTCTTTTATTTTTATTATTCTAATTAGAGACCAAAGCTGCTAAAGACCATGAAAACCCTGGTATCAAAAGTGGTCTTTAATTGAAGGGAGCCCTGTATCAACATATCGCTATAATGGTAAAAATGAATTTTCCACCACCATCAATGCTACCACTACCAACACCACTAGACTTGCCTCAAGTCTCTAATTTATTGATTTTTCTTAGTATTAGCACTTTTCGGAAAGCGCCACCAGCGTCAGTTTATGTCGAGAAACTTTTTGATGCGAATTAAAAAGTATATTATGGAACGCCATGCAAATAAGTAAATATGGAACGCCATTGGTGCCAAAATCGATTTATTCTTAAGCATATTCACTGATTAAGACAACGTTTAGGGACTGGAACCCAGTCTACACCATCACCAACATAAGCAAAGACAATAGCCTCCTTGGAGCTTGGCTCCTTTTTTTTGGAAGCTTTCACAGCCTCAGAAATTCTTTTCACAAACATTACACAGAAGCAGTATATAATTAATAATACAATAGGCCTATACATAATCATTATATAAAACAATTTTATCCTGTAATAATAAAAAAAAAAACATGGATTGACACATCAAACTGACAACTATGGTAAACATTTATCTAGATTTTAAACAATTAATTATAATAAATCAAGGTGTATCAATTATTGTTTGGACGGACTCACCTGTATTACATACTAAAATATGTTTTATCATTAATTAAGAATCTAATCTAATCTGGTCATATATACTGTATAGCGCCTTTCTTTACAGATACTAAGCGCTGCAAGTTTTTCCTTGGTCATTGGGTCTATGTGCTTGTAAGTGTTGCTGCCATCTTGGTGCAAGAGCAGGCAACCCTGCCATAGAAGCAATGTAGATAAAGCAATGCAATGTATATAGAGTGCCTTTATACAAGCGAAATGCACAGCTGATAATAAATTCTTACTACGTTGACTGCCACTTACAAACATATTCAAGTATAAATATTTGTCCATACTATCAAATTTTATGTGACAAATAAATGTGACATTGCGCATACTTGGGTGTAACATGACACCATCATACCTATGTGTAGGCACATCACACACATTTGTCACATCAAATTTGACAGTGCGGACAGAGCTTTAATGAGTGTAACTGCCGGTGCAACTGTGTCACTATCTATTCAGTATTGTCATGTAAATTCTATGTAAAGCCCTGTTCATACAATCAAGTTTTATGGCACAAATGTGATTTTTTCCTAATATGGGAATGATGATGTGACATCACACCCATATATGGGCAAATCACAGATACTGATTGTGTGGACGGCTCTGAATACTACTACTACTACTACTAAGTGCTACATTATTGCTCAGCATATGTTGGCATTACTTCAATCAACCGACTGTTGTCAATTAAACAATTATGGATGTGAAATTTTCAATTGTTGAAATTTTCTGTCCTTTGTTAAGTAGTGATTTAAAGCCCTTATAAGAATCTTAAACCATTTTATATTTATTAAAGGTTGCAATATTTTAAAGTTAGGTAATGTTTGGTCACAATTAGAAAATATTGGTCCAACAGCAAACAAAAACATAATGTATATAATAGGATAAATAAATCACTCTCAATTATAGATATGTTAATAAAAATTATATAGGGATAGCGAATATAAACCATGTAAAAACAATAGAAATATGTTGAAATAATGTGAACTACTTGAATGAGGATTTGGTCGTTTAGCTTCAAAACGTTATTAGTCTGGTATGTTTGGAGATGAAAGACGACTTGGTATAAAACTTACTCTAAGCGAAATTGAATAGCGTAAGAAAATTTGGTCTGGAACCCTGGAAACAAACAAATGCTGGTGTATTGGCAGGACTGTGAGACAACCCCTGATATGATTATTTAGTTTTAACTAACTACGCATATAGCCAAGTATTCTTAATTTTTGCAGGCAAGCAAATGAAATAAAAAATACCAAGTTCTTTTTATAACCATTCATTTTTGGCTTTCTATTACTACTGGCTGTGTATCTTGCATTGCAGCCTTACATTTCATTAAATAGCGCCCTCTTGCTACATTGCAATTTATGGATTATAGTATTTAATTGCACACAATACAATTTATTACGATTAGTTGAAAAAAAAAATTACCTAATGGCGGCAATATTTTGGATGTTTTAATGGAAAAATTTATGAAATGGCATAAAAATTTTAATATTATATTTAACATAATTAACATTAATGCAACTGTCCCATGACAAGTCAATTTTAATGGCAAAAGTTATGAAATGGCATAAAAAATTTAATATTCTATTTAAATTAATCAACATTAAATAACAATAATGCAACCATCCCATTATGAATCATTATACAAATATTTAGAATACATTAAAACTAAAAATGTGTAATGATATACAAATAGAAAATGTGTAATAATCTAAAAATAGGAAATGTGTAATGATCTAAAAATAGAAAATGTGAAATGATCTAAAAATAGAAAATGTGTAATGATCTAGATCGGGCTATGCATAACATGACAGCTAATCTCATTATGGAGAGCTCATTTGAAATACAAATATGCATGGACGGATGAATTATTAATATGCGAGCCAAACAAAAATATGTCAGGTGAAAATATAAGTACATTAAATGATACATTTAAAAAATTTTTTTTCATAAAATCTAATCTATGAATTACTGAAAAGCTCTGTCCAGATTATTACATTTTCTTTAAAAACACTATTGTATACCCATATATAGTCAAAATGTTTAGGGGCGGATCTAGCTGGGGGAAATGAGGGCCTGTGTCCCCCTCCCCTCATCAGTCAAGCCAAAAAATAAAAAAGAGGGAGAAAAATTTGAGTGAAAGAGAGGAATGAGGAAAAAAGGGAGTGCACCTATGAGTTCTGTGGCGATCCAACAATGGGCGAAAGGAGAGTTTGATTATTTACCACTTGTTTTCGCCAATCATGGTGGGGCTGAGGGGGGTGTGGTGGCGTGGACTTCCTATTGTCCCCCCCACCTCCAAAAAAATCTATGGAGACGCCCCTGATTTCCTATATATGGTCATAAATGTGATATCACAAATAACATGTAATAGTCTGGGTAGGGCTTAAAAGTAAATTCCCCAAAAAACAACTGCTTTAATTAATTTTTAAAGACTTTTTATAATATAAAAATACAGTTCCAAATGCTAATCCTCACAGAATGCAATTTTTTGTCATTAATATGCAAACAAAGGATTCTAAATTTTTACTTGTCTATTCATATTTTGCACATATACCATTGGAATAAAAATTATAAAATTTTCTCATTTAAATTTCATATAAAATAATAATAATGTCAAAATCTCAATCTTCAAAATCAATAAAGCCACAAAAAAGCCTCAGCAATATATTCTCTATTTGTCATAAATGATTTTCTACATGAAAGATTTAAGTCATACTTTACACTATTTGCTAGAGAGAGACTAAAGCTATTATTTCTATTCACTGCAAAAATCTCAACACAATTGCAAGTTCCTTTTATAACCATTAACCTTTTATAAGTTTAACTTCCCGCTCATTGCCACAATAGAGAGTGCTAAAACTATGCTTACAACATCTCACCCTTTGGGAACCAAAGCTACACTTTCTGACCCTTCAACACCGTCTTCTTTTGCAGTACGCATGATAGAACTTCATCTATGAGTTGTAACGTCAGTCGTCTAATTGGATATTTAACTGGAAGTTTTTCAAGGATATGGGGAGATTGCACATAGTACCTAGAAAATACACGAAATATGTGTGGATAGTTAAATCATCACTGCTTAATTTGATCATAGATATAACATATTGTGTTAGTGAACAACATATAGAGCAGGCTACCCAAAAACTTTTACGGCGATATGCAGTCGTAAGAAGTATTATGTATGCAATATAAAATGGGATGGTTATAGTAAAGTTATGGTATGAGTATAAAATTATAGAGTATGGATAAAAATATTATACAGGATTATGGAATAACATGGTGGCAGGAAATACAAGGATGAGAATAGTCATGGACAAAATTTCTATTGTCTCTATTACCATCACAACCATCACTATCATCGCATTTATCCATCATTACAAACACGAGCATCATAAGCACTTTAATCATAATCGATTTGGCTGTGTGTATTTTTGAAATGGTATGGTATGAATTATGAAATGGTAAATAGAATGGATATAACATACTATCTTGAATGTGGTATGTACAGTATACTTAAAAAATGGTATGATGTGCTGTTTGCATGTATTTTTGAAATGGTATGGTATAGATTATGAAATGGTATATAAAATGGATATAACATACTATCTTGAAAGTTGTATGTACAAGTATACTTAAAAAATGGTAGGATGTGCTGTTTGCATGATATAGTATGGTGTGGCTTTTTAATTTTATATGCATGGATATGGTATAGATATAATATATGAAATGGATATGGAATGGATATGATATAGATACAGTATGTATATGCAATTATTACCTGAATTCCTCCATATAGTTGTTTCTAATGTATGACGTTATGCTGGAGCTGTACTCTATAAAAGTCTGTAAAACAAAGAACTGCTGAAAGAGAAGGACAGCATCATCCGGTGAAATGACAGAATCCTTGGACGGTAGCAACAGTTTCATAGCCTGTGCCAACAGCCTTTCCACAAACTTTTCCTTCAAAAGAAAAGAAAAAGATAAATGAAACAAATTTTGGCCACCATTATGGGATCTCTTTAGGTCTGAATGAAAATGACAATGTGTGAGTTTTGTATATCCATTATAAAGTGTGTTATGCTGCTTTATGATGAACTGTTTTCCTAAGTGGACATAATTCAATGATTTTATACTTGTATGTCAATATGTTTTATGAATAAACAAGAAGTGAATAAAGGAAATGAAAGTTCAGCATGCTGTGGCGGATCCAGGAATTTGAAATAGAGGGGCCCAGAGAAGGACTTTCACAGATGGAGAGACTACACCACTTCAGCCCAACCATGGTTGCAGCTGAAGAAAATTCATGATTATGGCACCTAGATGGCCAGAAATGATATAAATTTAAATATCATTTTTTTTTTGTTTTCCATTTAAAAATTTGTTGATGTGGTGGGGGGGGGGGGGAGTGGGGTGTGACTGGGCTCCCCCTTGAATTCGTCACTGGCATGGTTTGTTTTTCAGTAGACATATGATCTTTTAAAGACTCATTTACATATATTTCACATCTTGTATTAAAAATTGAAAATTCTAAATAAATATACACTGTTTTTTGATGTTTTTAATATTTACTCTTGGTCATGTTATATTTTATTTATATTGTTAGAGAATCTAAATAAATGAAATCAGGTACAAGTAATGATGACTTAAGATTTTGAGTTCTTATTTATTTATTTATTTATTTATTGTTTATCAAAGAATCTAATGGGAGTTGGACTTACAGTTGTTGAAAATGAGTCCAGAACCTTAACCAACCAGCATATGTTAAAGAACTTGCCTTCATCATTACCCCAGTTAGCCTGTGAATAAATGGATTTTAAAGTACTATCATTTCCGTTTTGAATCAACAGAAATTGAATAGACACAAAGACCACAGCAACAGTAACAATTAGTGAGCAGAAAATGCTCTCGTTTGAAACTAGTAAAGAGCTATTTCCGGGGTCACTTCCAGATCTTGTTAAATGAACTTTCTTTAATACATCTAATTTCATTTTGCTGCACATAGTGATATCTATCGGCACTGAATTCTGTGAGAAAGTTGATGTAATAATAAAGCAGTCAAAACATGCAAATTATGAATTTACAGGAGATGGATTATTTTGTGGGCATTCTTGCTACCTTGCGGGTGGCCATCGCGATTTCCGGGAGATTTCTGTGAGTGGGAGGACTTGGGATCCTTGGTATTGAAATATTTATATTTTTAATACTGTATTTATTAGCTCAAATGAGACACATATCTATAAGACAGGTTCAGATTCTCATTTATTTTAATTCCAGGTAGTGACTTTCTAAATGGGAGTTCTTCACTTTCTTGGGACTACTAATACAACCTCAAGGGCTAGTATGACTGGCCCTGCAATGGATGTCATATGACCTACCTGATGCGCGATCAATATGAGTTCAAAGGTTACAGCAGTTGAAACATTTGTAATCTCTTGGACGAGTTTAGAAACCTGGAGAGGATAGGAATTAAATAGTAATATTAATAATAAATCATTCAGTGTTATAGAGAGAAATCATTCATTAATAAATCTATACAAAAATATATACAGCATAAGATGTTAATAATAGGCAAATTGTTTAGCCTAAAAGCTTTTGCCACTTGCAAATGCTATGTCTGTAACTATACAGAGAAGATAATATACCATAAAACCTTGAATAGAAGCCCATGGGCTTCTTTTTGAGGCTACTTTTGCAAACTAAAGAGGGGGAATTCAATTCAAGATGGGCTTCCTCTCGAGATTAAGCCCATTGGGCTTCTATATGAGGTTTTACGGTACATCAAGATTCAATTACTATTATAGCGTGCATTATGTCATACATACATGAGTAAAGTACTCCCCTTGGGAGGAGAGAAGTATATTTGTCAATGTCCTGAACATAGTATTAATTTCAGCTTCATTATATAAAAAAAATGTTGTTATAAAAAAAATTATTAAAAAAAGTAGAGACAAAAATATTTTGTTACAAAAAAAAATTGTTTTCATATTCAGCAGAAGAGTGGAGCTAAAGCTAGAGTGGAGGTGAATAGCTTGGTGGTTAAGATGCTCGCCTTTCAATCCGAGGGTCCTTGGTTCAAATCCTGCATGTTCAAGGTTTTTTCTCACGAAAAACAACTCTACTCCAAAAGCCTTGTTATGATATGTAGAGCATCATGTGTGTATGTTTGTCATGTGAAGGGATTGCAAACTATCTAATAGGGCAGTGATTAATACCCCATTCAGACTAGCATCGCATTGCAATCGGTTGTAGCAATTGCGACACCCAATCGCAAAGTAAAATCGTGTGTGAAAGCTCACCAATAGCAGTCGACATGTAATCGATATCGCAATTGTTACCCGTTGCGATTGGGTGCTACAATCTTTATTACTCCCGATTACTACGGAATCTGATCGCAACGAATCACAACAAATTCCACAGGCACTGTTTGGCTGAGGTCAGGCAACATAGGCCTAGCCACCGGAGGCCTAGGCCCTAGAATGTAAAGTTTGTTTGTGTTGGTCTGAATGCGTCTGTTAATTGCGATCGGCAGTAATCAGTTTTGGATTACCACCAATTACATCGCAACCGATCGCAAGCGAGTGTAGTCTGAATAGGGTATTAGTCTCTATTGGTAATCCTTGGTCATGTGCTTAATGAAAAAAGTCTAGAGAACAAAATTATCTTTTTGCATTTCTAAGTGCCTACCTCTGCATCTGAGTAAGTCTCCCAATGGTGTGCATCCGTTTCCAAGAGCATACTGGATGTCTTGAATCTTGGTGGACGCCATCGCTGTGGCACCTCTGGCAAACACGTCAACATCACAAGCAGGTCCAGAACCATCTTGCCACTACAAGAAAATATTTCACCTTCATTAAGCACTAGTTTATTACAATCTTGGCACAAGAGTGGTTTAGAAGCTTGCCTTCCAATACATTTATAAGGCACAAATAAACAAGGTCCCTAAGCACCAAATAATAATAATAATAATAATAATAATAATATTAATAATAATGACATTGCAGCATTCGTAAAATGTTTGTCACTGGTGCTGGAACAGTCACAAAAGTAGGAAGGCCAGGCCCCCCACCCCCCAGTAGAAAAAGTGGGTGGCTGATGGCCCCCACTGGACGATCCGCTTCCGCCGTCATTGTCAAGCTTGGATGTCTTCTATCTTTCAAGACCTTTTAGTGACACTAACTATTGCCTTGCCATATGTTCTACTAGACGTTATCTAACAGTAACACAGGTGAGAGGGATTGCTCACTCTGTCTTCAATATTCTGGATGGACAAGACGACCAACGTATTACCTTATCAGGAGAGAAGATTTACTGTATTTACAACTGTGAAATCCCATTGATGATGAGGCTAGCAAACTATACTAGTACATGATATACGAGTAAAGAAAAAGATGTCTTTGTTTAACTACTTTTGATGCCAGAAACTGTAATAGCATAGCATTTTCAACTGCTTTTTTGTGATTGTATTTGAATATTTTTTTCTGGAATAACAAATTAACATAATACCGAGCAAGATAATTGATGAGGTGCAACAGAACAATAATGGAATGGTACAAAAGTAAAAGTTAAGCAAACAATATTTATTAAATTATTGAAGATTATCAAAGACTTACTTGTTAGCTTGCAGTGTGTTGAGTCTATCTGGCAACATTTCTGTTTCTCTTAGCATCTGTGCCAGTGTGTTGAATATGATAACAACCATTCTAAAATTCAGAAATATATGTGAATTCTTATATGAACAAAAACGATAAAGCTATTATATAGTAGTAGTATGCTAAGGTATAATTTATCCCAACACAAAAGTTGGTACCGCGTGAGCATAATACTAAGACTTTCTGGGATGTATGTTATTCATATTACTTGGATACTGTTAAAAAAAAAATGTCTTATATCTTCAGCTAATCAATCCCATAACACCAAATGCTAGTCACTAAAATGTTGTAAAAGGAAGAAAACAGATTTATAATTTAATACCATAAACATAACGCTGTATATTATAGATATTAATTACAGTTGCAGTATTGATCAAGACTGAAATGAAAGGAGTACAGATCCCAAATGAACAATCACAACATACCCTGAAGGATAAACACCTAAGGATATATACTGTACTCTAGTTTGTTAACCAGTAACCATGGAGATTATTAATGTTCTTTATATATGGTTTCAACTTGAAACAGAATAAGCATTCTATCATTCAATGGTTTTCCACCTTCCTCTATTAAAAAAATATATTAATTAAGCTTGGTGCACAATCAATATGCATTTGATTTACATATACAGTATTGGATTTTCTGTCTAGAAATTAATTTACTGTATCACCATTCGAGTATCTAGTGGGTAGTAATCAGTAAAATTCCCTTTTCTGGCCCTAAGATGTAGAAATCAGAAGTCAATATGTTTATGGATAAATATGTGGCAAAGACAAGCCAAACCAGTCACTCATTGCAAAAATCAATTTTGAGTTATTAATACAGTGTTAGAGAGTAAAATAATAGCTATAAAATGGTAAAAAAACAAGCGTTTAACCACACAGCTGTTTAAAGAACAATATATGAGAAATCAGCCTTTAAAGTTAATGATTTCAGGCATTTCTCATGCAGAAACTATCTTTAAATCCTTAAGAAACTATCTTTAAATCCTTTAAAAATTTGACATTCCAGCATGTTTTGGCCATTTTCTCTGAAACACGATTTGCGATGAGTGACTGGTTTGGCTTGTCTTTGCCACATATGCAAATTACAAATTAATAAACTAATAATAAATAACTAATAAACCCAGTGAAGGTTCCTTTAAACTATGTGGTAAAAACAAGCAAAACCAGTCACTCGTTGCAAATCGTGTTTCAGAGAAAATGGCCACTCATGCTGAAATGTCAAATTTAAAAAAATTGATTTTACTGCCCTAAACTAACGTTTATATATATATACATCATGCTATGCTGTTAATTTCCCCATATTAACATTCCCCAATGTTAAAACAACACTTTCTAAAAATTTGATGATAGTTTCTGCATAAAAAATGCCCAGAATCATAAACTTTGAAGGCTGATTTCTCATATATATTTTTTGCTTGTAACTTCATAAGGAAATGTCAGATTTGAATGATTTTTTAACCATGTTTTATAGCTTTTATTTTACTATTTAACCATGTATTAATAACTCAAAATCGATTTTTGCGATGAGTGACTGGCTGGGCTCATCTTTGCCACATATGATAACATCTAATAAATCCAATGAGAGGTCCTTGAAACATATGATAACATCTAAAAAAAACCCAGTGAAGGGTCCTTTAAACATAGGAGATCATCTAACAAATGCAGTGAAGTGTCCTTTAATCATATGATAATATCTAACAAACCCAGTGAAGTGTCCTTTAAACATAGGATAGTATCTAAACTAATAAACCGAGTGAAGGGTCCTGTAAACATAGGAAACCATCTAATAAACCCAGTGAGGCATAGGCGTAGATTCCGGGGGATGGGGGATATATCTCCCCAATATTTGACAAGGGGGGATGGTCCATTGTATCATCCCCCAAATATTTTGACTATGTATGGGATAAATTGGAGCTTTACACACTTCAAAAGACTGTCACAGAAATAATTTGCACTGTCTTATGCGCTTACAAAGATGAAAATTAGCATAATGTATTAATGTTGATAACAAAATTATTTTATCTGGTACCATTCTAAGCTCTTCTTTCCTTAGCTGTTAGATGTGCTTGCAAAGAGAGCCACATTTCACACTGAAGGGTGTGTGCGACATCAGTAATGTTGTCAATTCCAAGAATGTTTAAGGTTATATTGGTTGATGAGGAATTTATTGATTAGGCCTATAATAGCAAATTGCATCAATTTATTTTACAAAAACAAGGTTTCCAGCTTCAGAGGGGGCACGTAATAGGCGTCTAGGGTCAGAGTGGGTTTATTTTCCCAGTTAGTAATTTACCACACCCACCACACGCCACTCCCCATATAGAAAACAATACGACATAGGGCTTATCTTATTTATAATACAGGCCACACACATGTGTTTGAAACTAAATATAAGCATTTTCATCATGGTTTTATTTATTACAAACATATTCTTTCACCATCAATACACGAGGCCCTTCTTTTAGGTTAAAACAATCTATCTTAAATTTGTCTTTCTTGATATTGAGACTATTATGTGTTTAAATAACTTAAAAGAATAAACCTATAAAAGCCCTAAAAATGCAAAATATTTTTGTGTTTTTAATTCTAATTTTGTCGGAATTGATGAAAACTCCCTAAAATGTGCAATTTATAGAGGAAATTGGCCTACCGTAACAAGAAATGCGCGCAAAGAATTTGAGAATTTTAGGCACTTTCAGAGGATGCATTTGTCAAGGGGTGGGGAAAGATTTTCCAAAGATGGATATTTTCCCTTGTCCCCCGGTGTTTTTAATTCTAATTTCGTTGGAAATGATCAAAACTCCCTAAAATGTGCAATTTTTAGAGGAAATTGTTAACAAGAAATACGCACGAAGCGCACAAAATTTGAGGTTTTTAGGCACTTTCCGGGGATGAAAAGGGCATTTATAAAGGGCTGGGGAAGATTTTTCAAAGATAGATATTTTCCATTTGTCCACCAGTGGTTACGCCATCAGGCAGCATAGATGAAAGGAGTTATGGCAGTTTTTGAAGTGGAAAAGGGGTTGCAGGGTGTTGTGAGTCTGGTCATTATGATATCTTCCTTTTTATTCTTGTCTTTATTTTTCTCTTCTATTTTGCTCTTCTCTTTTTCTTTCCTTTTCTTTCCCTCTTCTTTCTCTTTCCCTCCCTCTCCCCTCTTTCTTTTCTCTTATTACCCAGCCCGGTACGACAGCTTGGTCAGCCCGGTAAAAACCGTCAGGGAAGGGGCAGTTTCCCCCCTGCACCCCCCGCGTCTGTTACAACACTGGCTAACACGCTAATCATCGCCCCCAATGTTTTTCTACACCACTGCAGTGAGGGGACCATCTAATGAATGCAGGAACCATTCATCAAACACAGAAGACCATCTAACAAGCCCAAGGGAGACCATCTAATAAGACCAGTTAAGGAGTCTTTCAACCCAGAAAGGGAACTATCTAATGTACCCAGAGACCATTCATCAACATAGGAGACTAATCCAGTGAAAGACTATCTAATCAGCCCCAGTGAGGGGACCATCTAATGAACCTAATGAGGGGACCACCTAATGAACCTAGTAAGGGGTCCTTAAAAAATAGAAGGCTACCTAATCTAATAAATCCAGCCAGGGGACCATAAATAAACCCAGGGACCATCGAATAAACCTACAGTAGCAAGGGGACCACCTAATATACCCAGGGACCATTCATCAAACACAGGAAACCATCTGATAATATATTCATGAAAATGTCTTTAATCTATGCACTCTGTGAACAGGATGTATACATTACTCATCTCTGTGTTTACATGGGTTTCATAAAGCTCCTAATAATACTTGACTTACTCAAGTTCATCAGCTCGAGATTGCGTGTCAACTGTTGTTGATTTTGGAAGGTAGCACTGCAATTTGTTCACAAAGAACTCAAACAGGTCAACATTCTGCAATGAAAAAAACGAGAAGGCAAAATGTTAACAAATCAATTATTAATAGGATATGTGCTTTAAGGCGAGCTTAACTAATAAATATCTATATTGAATTTACAAAGTGATTGTTATTTTCAAAATTTTTACTACATTAAATTATATTTAGTTATTTTTAAACTACCAAGTAGAAAGCTCTATCACCACTATCAAATTTCATGTGACAAAAAATATGATATGCCCATATTTGGTTGTAATATGACATCATCAAAATCCCATATATGGACACATCATACAAATTTGTCACATAAAATTTGAAAATGTGGATTGTGCTTCAGGGCGTGTTTCTGCTGAATAACGCCAAAAACACATGGTTTTTATAATCGGTTAAATTCCCTCTGAACGCGTTTCTAGTGAAAAGTGCAAAAAATAAGAACACGGTAATGCGAGCATTGGCAGGTGGGCGGAGCTTGAATGACGGTCACCAACAGAAGTTGAAGCTGACCTTACTTCTTGCGAGCTACAGCGCATGCTGCAAAAGAAGTTAACAACACACCACGAAAGTATGAAAAAAGTATGGTATGATCTTCAAGTATGTCATCCTATTGGTTTAATATTTTCTTCGCCCCGAATTTCCCGCGAACAAGCGATCAAACCAACGAAGAGGTCAATTTGGGTCACCGATGGGGCATGACTAACACGGTATTGCGTTGCAGCTGAAAAGTGTACCACAAAACACTCGTTTTCTGAACGCGAACCCTATAACGAATGCGTGTAAAAACATGCATTTTTAGAACACATTCCTAACCGTGTTTTGTTTTTGAATAACCGTTTAAAAACATGTGTTTTTTTGCTCAGCAGAAATAGGCCCTTCAGGTCGAGGTGATATATAGTATCTTGCAATGTAATATGGCTCCCCAGGTATAACTGTGCCCTACAAATAGCCGTTAATATATTAATTACCGTCCACAAATATCAAAACAAGATATTATACTAATGGTATGCAATCTGTCATAAAATACAGGACAAACAAGACAAATTTAATTGAAATTAAATTGAATTGAACTCATTAGGCCAAAAAAAAAATTCTTGTGTTGGCCATGTTTTGGGAAAAAATGGGTAGGTTGGTAGGAACATTTTATTTTTGACCAATAATGTGTTTATGCCTAAAAAGTAGAAAATATACAAAAATACAAAAAAGACCATTTTAAAATCTATATTGAAGAGCAAAGTGATCGCATAATACTGTCGCATCGCCTACTGTACAGCAAGATAGGCCTATTCCAGCCTATAATAATTAATAAAATATTTTTAGTAGAAAAACTAAAATGCCTCAATTTCTTACATTTTCGGTCGGTTGGGCGTGGCCAACACAGCAATTTTTTCATTTGGCTCTAGAATTACATCACGACAGGGCGAAAAATTACTACCATTTAACGTGATAGTACTTTTTCCCCTAGGAATTTATTAACTATCATTCAACCCTAGATAAAATCATAGGAGTAATGTTTGAAGTTATTACCCACTTTTTAACCAATCAGATGCCTGAATCTATGTATGCTGTATACACGCATACACTTTAAAATAAATCATCAATGAATGAAAAGAAATTTTTTTTTTATTTAATTTTATTTATGTATTTTTTTAGGCACACACGCACACATACACCAATGACTGTGAATAGCGAATACCGTATTGTCTCTAATAAACGCCCCTCTTCTAATAAACGCCCCTCTTCTAATAAACGCCCCTCTGAGTTTTTTTCATTTTGCAATGAGTGCCCAATCAATTAACATGGGAATCCATCCATAAAAAGGTTGACAAACAAGGAGTAATACCGTACTGTGTGCTGCTTTCTTGGATATGAAATGAAATAAATACTACTCAAAAAACTTACCCTAAACGTTTGATGTTTAATGTCTTCACGATCACTAGGCCTAGGGCCTAGGCCTATTTTGTGTTTCTCTCATGGTATTTCGTTAACTTTGTAAAAACAGGGTAAGCTGCAAACGACAGGTAATCGTGTATTGTTAATGTGTCGCATGTTCGACGTGATTTGATTGAAGGTGTCTGGTCAATGAAGTCTATACCGTAGTGAGAATGTTTCTTCAAGTTGAGGGCAGTCTTTTGCGTGCGGTGCTAGTTCATGAGGCCGACATGTTTTTGACAAGCACGCGATTGCTGTTGTGAAAGGAGAAGCACCGCGCTGCATCGTCAGACATTTACCCCAAGAAAAATCGAAGATATTTAATTTCTTTTTGAAACACAAGGAATTATTGATGTTCAAATAACCAGCAACAAACGAAAGAACAGCAAAATAGCAGGAGGCACATTAACTTGTTCCTCTACAAAAAAAGAACTTACTGACCGTTTAAAGCAGCTTGTTTAGGTAATTTTTGATTTTACAATTCACCTCTAGTAAACGCCTCCCCCTTTGAAAAAATGCAATTCCCCCGGGGCGTTTATTAGAGACAATACGGTACATAACTGTCCTATGAGTAGGTGAGGTTTGTGATTCACACACGATGCTTCACACAAACTAAATCTCAGTCAGAGAGGCTTAAGGAGTGGAGTTGTTTTTGTAGATAAAACAATCATGTAGTGACAGGTTGGAATTGAACCCAGAACCCAGGAATTAGAAGGCAAGCACCATCCACCAAGCTATTCAACTCCACTTGATTTATATAATTTTAAAGTAACTCTCTCCACACACTACATAATGTCATCTGACAAATTTGTGTGATGTGCACTTATATGGGCATGATATGTCATATTACACCCAAATATGGGCAAATCATAATATTATATAATAATATAGAACAATAATACCTTCCAAAATAGTTTTTTAATGATGAAGTATTTGGCAGCAGCTGTACCCAGCTCGGCAATTAGTTCAAATAATTGCTCAATGTCATTGGCTGCGTTTAATATCTCTTCCTTCATCTGTTGAAATTGTCTCTGTAACTGAGCCCTGGGAAGAAAAATTCCAATGTAATCATCAATCAGATATCTTTGCATATGCAATCACCAAAATTAACATCAAGTAATCCATTTAATACCAAAATCATTACTAAATATACAATGTCGTATTATTGCTGATATCATATAACATTTAGCATTTATCACTGTACTTTTCTCAAATTACTACATGTTTCAATTAAAGTAAGTAATTTAATCGTTTTATAATAAGCTGAAATTAATTTGGCACATGTATTTTATGGAACCTTTAATTTAAATAATAGAAATTGTGTCATTTAATCCTTTAAATCATACTGAATACATTGTAATTAAAGCCCCATTTCCAGCAACATTTCACTAAAAACTGACTTTTTTTAGAAAATATGCATTTGCATTACTCCAATTATTATAAATCATGGAAAAATATTGGCATGAATTTTAGTTTTACGCAAAAGAATAAAAAAAATGAGAAGTACAGACTATTTCTCATAAACTATTACCATTTTCTCGACGAATTCATCGTTACTAGCAATATCAGAGGTTGTAGATCGCATCCACTGGAATACTCTCGCTTTTACGTATATTTCATACAGTCAATAAAGTGTGCCCTCTCTAATGAAATTAGTTTTTGTACTTTGCATCTCGCACAATGCGGTCATTCGATTAAGCTGAGATATGTTTGTTTAAGTGTCGAAACCTCAGTAAGAATCAGTTTTTTAACAAATTTGAAATAATTCCAATGAAATATTATATTTCACAAGTGCTAGCAACGGAAAATATCATGTCGGCCGTTTTTATGTGTGATAACAGAACCTAAATAGAGGTAAGGCTAGGCCTACCCTAGCAGCGTTGGATAGGCTAATGTTTTCGGCGCCTATGATATTTCTTCTCACGACCTATCGCAAAATCAAACATGAAAAATTTATCCGCATTTATTTTTTGTGTGGAACACAAAAAAATCAAATTTCAGTCTTTTTTTACATTTTTTTCATTCTTAGGAATGTCTAAATTCAGTTAAACTAGCAATTCCGTATTATATTTAGAAATCTTTATAACATTATACAAAAATTAGATTTTTCTTAACAACTGAAATTTTGCCGGGAACGGGGCTTTAATGTATGATTTTATCGAAATTAGTGAATAGTTAACAATTTCAAGTATTTGCTGTTAGAAGTAGTTGAAATGTTATTATTAAGCTAATAAATTACAGTTAATATAAAAATCCATTAAAATGTATACATAAAATAAATAAATTAATGATATACCACATATTAAAAATAAGAGGAAAGTTGGTAATGCTATTATAAGAATATATAGGCACATCATGACTACAGTACAATTTGGCATACAACAATTTCTTTTGTCAGAGAAAATGTGATGATCTGGTTAAAGCTTTATATTAACGACTGATCTATCCACAATTTAATGAGATGATTGTAATTTTCATCCTTGATTTTTTAATAGTTAATCTTCTGAAATTTATTGATTGATGTAATAAAATGACTTCAAGGATGTGTGTATTCAATGACGCTAATGAAAATGGCAAAGAAAAAACCAAAAACCACTGAATTGATATTTTTACTACAGTGTTAACATTGAGGCATACTGTAATAATAATAATAATAATGCAAACTAGATTTGAACTCGTCACTGAGGACGAGTTAGGTGATCCGCCGCACTTTGACCCTCATTAAGGTCACGCGGTGCTGATTGAAAAGTGTCATAATGTGCTAAAATATGCTGTAATTAGTTTTTTTTAAAGAATAATTTTGAGCATTTTAAAAGATTTCCTCATGTGTACACGTACGTGCCAGGAACACAAAGTATGCAACAAAACATGATTTCCAGCTTTAATATGTGCTGTGTGCGTGGAAATGAACGTACGGCGGGTAAATTATGGAAAGTTTTGAAATGTCGAAAATGACCCGAAACGTTCTTTAAACTATCTGAATAGTAACATGGAGAATTTTCAAATTTTAACAGACACGCACGTAACAATGTGTGCGTGTACAGTAATAGCACACGAAATTAAACATTGTCAAGTGTATTTAAAACCGCCTGTTAGTTGGTAATGCCACATGAACTTTCCCTTCACATAACCTATATATATTAGTCTGATAGCGTCGAAATACAGTCTGCTGCCCTCATCTGTTCTATTATTTTACATCTTTTAAGAATGAGCGATAAAAGGGCTCCAAAAATTCATTCTTTTTTACCATGTTGACGTGATCAAAATGAAAAATAAAGGGACACGTCTTCAAGAGAATTGATTTAGCTATAACATACTCACA